AGGGATGTAAAGACAGGTTACAGGAATGCAATGGTCATATGCATCTGCCTGGGAATCACACATCCACCTATTTTTTTTCAAAATGTGTCCAGGAGATTTTTACAAAATTTCTATAGCATGAGAGTAAGAGAGTTCAAGGGTGTCACAGTTTGCTTTCCTGTTGCTGTGATAAGATGCCCTGATCAAAAAAACAGCTTATGGGAGAAGGTTTCTCCTGGCTCACATTTCAAGTCCACCATGGCAGGGAAGTGCAGCAGCAGCAGGAATTGAGGGAACTGGTGGCCTTGTCCCCTCAATTCAGAAGCAGAGAGAGAAGGAAGTTTCGTGCTAGCTAGTGCTTAGCTTTATTTCTCTACTGTAGACAATCCAAGATCCCCAACCATGGGATGGTACCAGACACCACTAGTCTTTCTGTGTCAATTAGCATAAACAAGATAATGCCCTGTGGGCATGTCTAGAGGCCCATCTCCCTGGTGATTTTAGATCTGTCAGGTTGACAACACTCACCACCACAGGAGGTGAGCTCACTTTCTGCTGGTCTGGTCAGGGGCGCTTTCCTGGAGGCATTGGCTTGGTGTGGGCATTTGAGCTGGGCCTTAGCAGATGAGGGAGGCCTTGAAAAATGGAGGATTCTGAGGAAAGGGAGCTGTGTGAGTAACACCATGGAAACAAGCACTTAAGCTATGTGTGAGGACCCTACCAAGGCCAGGCACCCTCCCTCATTAGGGGGATCCAAACAGCAGAGTGGCAGTCTTGATGCCCCAATCTCACTAGAGATGCTCTGGAATGTTCTTTCTATTTCTCTTAGGAGGGCAAGCTCTTTCATCTAACTGTACCTCTGAGGTTATATGATTGCGAGATGCTTTGAAACTCTTCATTCTGTAGATCTATTAGGCAAGTATGAATGAGGCCTGTAGCATGGCAACACATCCCAGCCAGAGAAATAGTGGTGAGAAACGCAACTTCAGCACTAGAGACTAAGAAATTACTGGAGCTTCATGTGTTGGGGTGTTAGAGTTTGTCCACCATGAAACAGACTCCAGAGTGAACAGTAGTCCCCTGCCTCCATCCTTACCTGAGCTATCATGAGTTTCTTCATATGAGAATCAGCTGACATTGCTACAGTAATGGGAAATGCTGTCCCTCTGGGTTGAATCTGAACATTTTATCTCTTTGCAGCAAGGTTGAGATAGCAGGATTTCAAATTTTATGGGACTTGATATCACGGGTGCTGCTGACTGCTTACCATGCTTCTCTGTCCCCAGCTTCCCAGCACTGTGACAAGGAGCTGGAAGTGTCGATTTTTATTTTGTCTGAGTGTGTCAAAGAAGTCAGTCTATGATCCCTTGGCCCCATTGCCTTTGGGCCTGTGGTCTTCATGGCAGAATCACATTGGAGGGGAACAGAAAGAAGGGGTTGGAAACCAGGGAAGGGAGCTCCAAAGTATTCTTAAAATACGTGCTCCTAATGAGCCACTACCCCCAACCTCGCCACCAGCTGGAGACTAAGCCTTCAACACAGGAGACTTTGGGGAACAATCCAAATCCAAACATTAGCATACCCTGTCTGTAAAACAGAGGAAACGTTATCACAAGGTTGGTCAAGGATGGGTAAATTCATGACCAGCGCCTGCTATATAGCAAGTGCTGGATAAATGTTGATCTTCTGATTTTTCTCAGGGCCGCTCTCAGCTGAGTCCTTCCCTCAATTGCTATTCTGTGTCTCTGGAGATGAAAATCATACGTTCTCTGCATAAAATCACTTGAAGAAGTTTTTGAACGTAGGTTCTTGCTCCCTACCTTAGATCAATGCAATTAATAATCATCTCTTGGAAGAGGGGCCAGGAAGCTCTGCTTGGTTGATATAGCCAAGGGATTTTCATCTTCTTGGAATTGAAACTACCAATATAGTGTGTGTATTGGAGTATGGGTGAGATCACTGCCTTTGCTTCCATGTCCTTCTGTGTGAGCTGGATATAAAATCGACTCCACCATGGAGAACACCAAGTGATGTTCCCAACCACAGTGGAGCATCTGTGGGGCTAATGTCAACAATACCAGGTGGCCTGAAGACCACCTGACTCCTGATGTGTTCCAGTCTTGTTCTAGACACCCACCGCATGATCTGATATGTTATCAGATCCATAGTTATGATCAATCCCCAGCCTGCCGTAGCTGAGGGGAACCTGCTCAGCTACCCAGTGTTCCTTGAAGGAGAAAGCTTGGTGCCTACAAAATATACCTGTCACTCCACCAATCAAATCGATAAACAGCATACATGGGTCCTGCTGCCTTCTGATACGAAATGATCAGATTCCCTAGAGTATCAGTTTATCACCTGATTCATTACAAAGCTCAGGCTCATTGCATGAGACATTTGAATTTAATCCCTTCAAGTAACCACACTCCGGAACAGACACAGCATGTCTCATATTTTAAGTGTGATAAATTTCCTTCTCGTCATAGTAAACACAGTAGAAAATAACAAGTCTTTACATGTCTATAGGACTGTATGGTTAGCTGTCAAGGAACTTCTACACCTATTATCAGCATGTCTCTGATAGTGGAAATTAGAGAAAATAGACATCTTTTTGCCTTAAAGAGTTTATGAGAGCCACCTAACTCTACCTAACAGACTCTGGACTAACAAGATGCGAGGTTCTCCATACTATGCCTCCTGGGACCTGGGCTTGTCCTGCCACCCCACTCTGCCTCCAGCCTCTAGGCCATCACCTTGTAGAAGGGACGGCTTTGGGCCCACACTTTGAATCCTGAGTCTTTCACTCTTCCAGCCTTGCAAACTTGGGGTCACCCATCTCACAGGAGTGAGGTACGCATAAAACATGAAGCACTGTCCGTGGAACACAGTTAGCAGCCCAGAGTTAGTTGTTATATGCACGGCACAGATGCACTGTTGTTATTAGATCCAGACACTGCTGATGGTCACAGGTGGTCATTCTGAGCCAAACGGCTAAGATTCTACATGAGTCTCACAGGAGTCTATTTCTTCTCTGGCATGCCCTTTTCAGGGAAGAGGGTAAAATGGTTATGATGTTCTATTCTTGTCTGGTAGGGTTTTTTTTGTTTTTTTGTTTTTTTTTCTGGATACACTGAGGAAATCCTTTGAAAAAATTTATACTCTAGTTATCAAGAACCTGCATTGTATATGATACTGTGTTTGACATCAGGAATGTAATTCTTCTCCAAAGAACCAAGCATCAACTCTCTGCTTATCCTAAATCAAATGACCTAGTTACTCAGTTTTGTTCCATTAGCTTCTTGGTCAGTCTCTGTGGTATGTGCTTAGCTGAGTGGGCAAACTATAATCGAACCAGGAAAGAGGGCTGGATGAATTTCCCCGATTCTGCATGGCCTGAAGAATTTGTCCCTGGCCAATTTCTCAACATCAAAAAGTTTAGCATGAATATATTAAATAAAGGAAGAAATAAAAATATTGGCAACTGGGGGTTGGCAACAGTTGCAGATGACGTCATGTTAACTTTGATTAATTACATTCATGGAGCTTTTATAAGCAGCTGTCCCTGCTGCTTCTACCTAACACCTTCTTTATTCCAGACGCAACTCTTAGCAGAAGCCTAACTGGCCCTCAAGGAGACTATAAAACGAAGGAGAAGAAGCTGTCTTTACAGCTAAGGGACACAGGATGCCAAGTGCAGGATTATTCCGCAGCAGAGCCACATCCCAAAGATGAAGTGTGGTGGCCCCATAAGGGATTCTCCATCCTCATGAGCTTGGTCCTCTTCTTGCTGCCTCCTCTCTGTATCTAATGCCCTGGAAATGGTGGGAAGCCTGGGAACTCCTCAGCCCAGCCAAGACAAATGAAGCACGACAGAACAGACTGGAAACAGAGGAGGCTGTGATCTGCAGAGAAGGGACTCATGAGGGGAACATAACCTCAGAGAAGAGCTCATAAGACAATGAGTTCAAAGTATGTTCTTGACAGCACCATTTTTTGAGGAAAACCACACAGAAGGAAGAAGTATAGGAGGGTACATGAGAACCAGAGATACCATGGTGGGAACCATGATGGAGTATTACACAGTTACTAAAAAGACCAAATTTATCAGCTGCAGTGGGGAAATGCTTATAAAGAACATTATGGAGTCACAGCAATCCCAGTTAACATCTGTCTACATTCAAATAGTAAACAAAATGTTGTGAGAACCCTCATAACCTGAGAGATCAAATTCTTAATGGATCTATCATGTCTCAGCTTAAATAGACCACATTTCTTTGTCGGGGGCATCCCTTAGCCTGCAAACCTCTCTTTAGCCTCCTGGACTGGCCCCATACTTCTGAGTCTCCTCCTTAACCAAGTCCCATGTGCTTTCTGAGGCTCTTGCTCTGCCTGTTCACATTTGACAGCACAATCCCTCTCCTTTTTCTGTTTCAGCCACACAGTCCTTCGGACCCTCAGAACCTCAGAGGTCTTGAGGTCTATGCACTTCCTACTGCCTGGAGGTTCCTGGCCTCAAGTCTACGAACTTCACAATTTCATGGTCACATGACCCTACCATTATCTTAACACCCGGCAGCCTGCTTGGTTAGATTCAGAGCCCCTGAAAACTTTGTAATTATACATGAATCATGGTTTCTCCTAAATGGATGGGAAGCTTCATGAGGAACATGATGCTTAGTCTTATTTTGCCATCTTGATTGGAATGAAAAGCTTACATCCTTCAGGCAGTAGAATTCTCCTGTTCTGACTGCCTTTGGACCAGGACACTGGCTTCTTCCCATCTCAAACCAAACCCGGCTGAGTCTCAAGCTTGCTGGTCTTCGGACAGTTACCCCCCTCTCCTGGGCTCTCACATGGTTATGATTCAGTCTGCAAATTTTGCCATTTGCTTGATTCCTTTCCATGAACGACCCTAGAGATAAATATGTTCTTTTGTTTGTGTTTTTCAAGAGGACCCTGCCTAATATAAAAAATACTCTGGGCTGCTTGCAATCATATACCAATATAGTGATTGCTCAGGCTGATTGTATAATAAGATTTTATTGAATAAATGTATCAATAGATAGATGAACATAGGAATGCAAATACAACTCAGTGATAAAAATAATTTTACACAATATATGTAGCATATGTAGGTTATTGAACATCTACCTATACTCATTTGGTGTGGACACATCTTCAGAGCCATTTCAAATATAATAAGTGAGTTTCTTCCTCATTCTTAGACTGCTATGAGGTTGGCATTATTCCAGCTTCACACCTGAATAAAGGGAGAGTCTCAGAAGTTATCGAATCTGTCCATGCTCACACAGTGAGCCAAAGCACAGAACCAAGTCTGGGATGAAGACAAGCAAGGTTGACCCTTTACCACGGTGGCTATGTGGACAGTACAATGGCTGCTGGAGAGTGCTGGAGGGCTTGGAGGGGGCAGAAACAAGACCGCACCCTTTCTTCCTGCGGCTCGGGAATGGTGAGAGGTAATAGTGCTCCAGTCTGGGAAGGTGATGCTGGTCCTGCTGGTGGGGTTGCAATGGTGAAGTCATGGTTGATGAAGTTTAGACATGGCTCTTGGCTCATGCAGACTTCCAATGCAGTCTGCGGTTGTTGTTGCCTCATTTCGGGGGGATTCTGCTGATCATACAGTAGTCATATCAGACTCAATTAAGAGAGTCACATTATGTAGTCTCATGGCCACCACACCTACCTGCAACACAACAGAATGGCTTGAGCATGAGTTGAGCCCCAAGGTGTGGTCAGAAAAGCCAAAAGACACAGAGACATCGAGGAGAGTCTACAGTATATACTGACATAATGGCCACTCTCATGAGCTGTGACCAACTGAATATTCACAAAAATACATGCTCAAAGGGCAGCCACAATAGGGGAGAGAATACTACATAAAGTAACCAGGGAGCAAATGAAAGGTTAACTCTCAACTTGGATACACATGGCCTTTCCCTGTACCACGTGCATGTCCTGCATGGTTTTCGTCAATTCAACTTCCACAGCTTGGTGAAGTCTTCATCTTCTTCCTAGGCCCTGTCATCAGCAGTTATCTCTAAAGAGCCTGACGACAGCTGTATCTGCTGGGGAAACCACAGCCTCATGTATCTCTCTTCCGAGCATCCTTAGCCTGTGATATATATACCACTGCTCAATGAGATGCGTTTCCCAGGCCAGCATGGCAGGGACCGGTTTTCTCTTCCCTGACATCAGCTGCCTCTAGACAAATGGCATGAAGTAGCAGATGTTGATGACATAGGCCCAGCAGTAAGATTTATCACATACTGCCTACTAAATGATAATATTAATAATAAATTAGTTGAATGTTCATTTCTTCTCTTGTGATCTTATAGTCTTAAATTACTAAATTTTATATTATGCATTTGTATTACTAAAGTAATGACAGTTGATTACTTGAGAGGCATTAAAACAACTCTAAGAATGAAAACAAATTAGAACAAATTTAGTAGTGAGCTACCATTTTTATACCTTGTCTATGTTCCATTTTCTATCTCTATACTAATAAGCAGAACGGGAGTCAAGATGCCAGTCATGGTAGAGTTGGAAGTCAGGAAGTGAAGGTTTTTGCCAATGATGCTGTAACTAACCATGTGGACTTAAAGTCTCCTTGCCTTGTTGGGATTCGGTTTCTTGTCTATAAGCAAGTAAAGAGTGACCTAGACATGCAGGTGGAGAAGGCCTCATCTTTGTACCAAGTGCCTTTGTGCTGTGTCTTATCACTTTCTTCATTAGTGGCGATTCCAGTTCTTGTTTGAGGTTGTAATTCGTTTTGTTTTTAAGCTCCATGATGTTCTCATCCTCCAGTTCTCAACTTGTCATCCCTCAGAGAAGGTTCTGTATACTTGTACTGTTTGAAAGGTAAAATAGATGTAGATGATTATACATGCATACGTATATGCATACCCTCTACTGTTTGAAAGGTAAAATAGATGTAGATGATTATACATGCATACATATATGCATACCTTCTACTGTTTGAAAGGTAAAATAGGCTTGGAGGGATACTGCATTTAAAGAAAGAAAGATCTAAGAAAAAGACAGGAATGAGAGAGTGTGCATGCCTTTTTTAACTACTCAAGAAAATGTCATTTTTAAGCATCTATAAAGCTTTATTAAATTTATCAAGGACTACATCAATTGTGTATAAGTCAATTCAATCTACAAAACAGGAACTATTCCAATCATTCTGTTCACAAGACAATATAATTAAGTTAAACTATAAAAGTTGCAATAAACAATAGTTTCATTCTTATGCTGGACTTTTCCCTTGATACCAAAAAAAGCTCCTGGTAGAAATAAATAAATATCCATCAAATCTGTAAGAAAAACCCTACGGAAATGCTAATTCATCAGAAGTTTGCATGAACATTTTTCCCTCTCATTTCTGCTTTTAACAGTCTTCTAGAAACAGAACTAAAGTTTATCTTCTCAGTTTAGCTAAAATTCTCTGTGGTGTGCTCAAGTATAAAGTGCATTGGTGCTCGAACAGAACAAACCCATCATCCTTTAAAGGCTCCGAGAGTGGGTACCTTTCCCACCATCATCCTCAGAACAAACCCATCATCCTTTAAAGGCTCCGAGAGTGGGTACCTTTCCCACCATCATCCTCAGAACAAATCTATCATCCTTTAAAGGCTCCGAGAGTGGGTACCTTTCCCACCATCATCCTCAGAACAAACCCATTATCTTTTAAAGGCTCAGAGAGTGGGTACCTTTCCCACCATCATCCTCAGAACAAACCCATCATCCTTTAAAGGCTCCGAGAGTGGGTACCTTTCCCACCATCATCCTCAGAACAAACCCATTATTTTTTAAAGGCTCAGAGAGTGGGTACCTTTCCCACCATCATCCTCAGAACAAACCCACCATCCTTTAAAGGCTCAGAGAGTGGGTACCTTTCACACTGTCATGTTCAGCTTAAAATCAGACAGTATGAGCTACCTGAAAACTGGCCCAATGTGTAATGCTTACTATCTATGGAGAGACAAAGTGCTATTTCACTAACACACACACACACACACACACACACACACACACTACTTAGACTAGACTTAAGCCTGAGTAAGTATTATGCAATATTTTTCACTTTAGTGCGTATACATATCCTTCAATTCCCTCCACTTCGCTATTCTACAGAATATCAATTTATTTAAGTTACAATTTATTTATTTAAGGATGATTTTCCCCAAGAGAGACTGAGAGAAGTCTAACATGAGATTCAAACAAATAAATAATATTCTTGTGTGATAAGCTCCATGGAGATGCCACTAAATCCCGCTACATGTGGGAACTTGCGCTCTGTATGTGGGCATGCTGCAGACACTATTGTTCTGATTAAATTGATTCTGCATCAAACATCAATGATGTTTTTCTGTTCCCTCCTCCCTTATTCTTAGGGGAAAACAATCCTTGGGACTTGTTTTGTAATGGTTACTTTATAGGAAGGAACTCTGAAGTTACTTAAACATTTAGCAATCGTGTTTACAATTAAAGGTGATAACTTATCATCGTGGGATTATTAAAAAAAACTTAGAGAAATTTTAAGTGGTATTTAATACAGTCCTATATACTGTGAGCCTGAATACTGTATCCTCTTCAATTTCCTATTGGCAATATTTTACTTCATGATTAATGTTTTCAAGGCACAAAATAAGGGAATAATTTCTCTAATCTAGACATATAGCCTCTCCAAAGCTATTTTATTCTCAATTTCCTGATGGAAAATGGATGTATTTGCTTTCTTAGATCTGGAAAATGAGGTAGTCAACACATTTGGTATTTTGTTTATTCTCCCATCGGGGACAGACCTCATCTATCGTTTTATTATGTATGAAAATGAACTGTTAGCACAGTCCATCGCCAACTAATACTTCCCAGTTTCATAGACTCCTTGACAAACAGCATTTCCCCTCTCACTGTGAGGTAAAGGCTCCAGCACGATAAAGTTTTCTTATATATTTCAAAATACCAAGAAATTTAAGACCTAGACAGAACAAAGTATCCAATAAAACCTGTCTCATCACCCACAATAGCAGGAAAGTTCCTGTAATTTTTTTCACACAAGATCATTTTGGACATCTAGACACGATGGCGCAAACTTGTAATCCTAGCATGTGAATGGCTGAGGCAGGAGAATAGCCAGCTTGAGACTAGCCTGCACTACATGGGGAGTTCCACTCCAATAATCTTGGCATTTATGAAACGTCACAGGGAACCCCACTAATGTTAATTTGTACAATTTAGCAAGCAATATATTAATAATTATAATAGAAGATGACTTTGGATCATTTCCCTTTGTCCAGTTGACACAAATATAATTTCACATACGGAATACAGAGTGAATTCCAGTTTAAATGAATCTGTATTATTGATATGTAACTTACGATATATTTATTGTAGCATTTCAAAAGAAAAAGTTAAGACCCGTGTCAGGTTCTGAAGATATCATTAATTAGAGAACAGTGGAGATGCACACACTTTCAGTGTGTTTTTATTAAATATACACTTTATCAACAATGGAAAAAGCTATTATGATAAAACCTTAGGAACACTGTCACCTTTATTACCTAATTTTACAACGTATGCTGTGGAGTTTTTGATAGAATAGCAGGTGAAAACTAGGGAGTAGCATAGAAATGTAGAGTCGGGAGCAATGTTGGGAACACTCAGAGAGAGAGAGATGACCGCTAATACGCGTAAGAGCTTAATGTTTCTGTCACATTGTTGCTTCAGGCTGACTCAGGAGCAGGAAGTCCTGCTTCCGAATGCAACGTGCCCCTAATGTTACTAACAACAACCACGACTTAATTGCTGACTGTGGGACAAGTTTGTCCTTGTTTTCTACACATAGACACATAGATCCTTATTCATTATTAAATAATAATTTTAATCTTCACTATATTCTTTTATATTTCCCAAAGAAGTGTGAACAAGAACTCACAAAGCCTCTAACAACTCCTGCTGTCTGTACCAGGCAGAAACTGTCTCTCCATTCACCCTCCCTGCAATCGCCAAAACGCTAAGGCATCAAAACCATCAAGTAGTTTTAAACAGAACAGGCCACTAGCAAACAGTCACTGAGAGAAAAATTAGTGCTTACCACTACTTTTTCATATTAAGAGGTAAGAAAACGTAAAATCCGAAATCAGTAAGTCCGCTTGAAATGAAAAAGTCATGATTGTCCTTCTAAATGTGTCAGAGGCGTACAGTGACAAATAGAATAGAATTCCAATGATGAAGAGAATGGTTGGAGATATTACAGAGCCCAGAAGGAATGTGTCATGTTATAGAAGAAAAGATAAGCAACAACAGTCTGAAGTAAGGGCCATTGCCACTTCACAATGTCCACAGAAAACTTCACAAGAGGACAGTGTCGAAGGCCTCAGCATAGGATCTCACTAACTCGGCACTGGATCAGGGTGTGTGGGAAGTGGACAGAAGACAACAGAAAATAATTACTGGGGGGCACTGTTACCACCTGCAATTGCAGAGGACTTGAGGATCCAGCTACAAAATTTGTACATGCGATAATTATTGATAGATGGGGGTGGTGGAGAATTTTGAAAAATTTTAGGCAAGTTTTCTGAGTAAACCTTTCCTTCCTAGAGTATTGCCACATTTCTTAGTTCATTCATTTCGTTACACTTCTAGGCTGACTCCATTTCTTAGCTGTTGTGAGCAGTGTAGAAATAAACATGGACGTGCACATGTCTCTGGGGTAATGGTGACTCGGAGTCCTTCAGGAGCGGTATAGCCGGGCTGTACAGTGGTGTTGCTTGGTCTGTGTTCAGTTCAGTGAGGTGCCTTCCCACAGGTTTCCAGTGGCTGTACCAGCTTTCATCCACACATTAGCGTCACTGCTGCCCCATAGCGATGTCATGAGTGTCACATGGCCATTTCAGTACCGCCACAGGTTCACAGAGGAATTGGGAGGCTGGTGACTTTGTCAAAATTAGCCTAAATTTTCTACCTTCCAGAGTCGACATCATTGACCTCCCCACATTCCTGCAAGCCTTTGAACCTGACATCAACATTTCACATATGGACAACTTAAAGAGGCTTTTGTTTATTTGTTATTGAGCCTTGAAATATTAGTTTTGGTCCCAGGAGCGAGGCTAATGTTCCAAGTTCTAGTGCACACATGTGTGTGCAAAGCTCCTGGGTGTTTACATTTTATGTTTATGAGCCCAATAAGTGCAACTGCAGACTAGCATGTCAATTGCTGCATGCTACACATTAGGGTCACTGCGGATGTAGTCTCCTAAAGAGAGCAGGTTTGTGAGAAGCCATTAGAGCCACATGAGATTGGCTATGCTACTGTACTAACACTGAACAGGCTCTCTGACCCCTTTGGCTTTCAGCCTGTCTTCGCCAATGAGGTCAGTTTCTTGCAGACAACAAAACTTAGACTCCAGAGAGTTAACCCTGATGTTTCAGGAAGGGCTTAGTGAAAGAGTCGGTTCCTGTGGGTGGGATAGGATGGGGTGGGATGGGATGGGATGGGATGGGGTGGGGTGTATGTTTGTGGTGAGTAATGTGGTGGGGTGAGATGATGTGGTGGCGAGCATATAGGGAGGGAATGTGTCTCTGTTGGTAGAAAGGGCAGCAGTTCACAGTTTCTCATGGACCTCTGCCATTAAATTGGGCCTTATGGGTACACCAGTGGGCACAGAATTCGTCTACTATAGTGTCCATCTCAGTGTTCCCCATCACTCTTCTTTACGTACACAGGAGTCTACTTACACCCTGTCATACCTCAGTACTCTGCACAGACCTGAACCTGAGTGGAATTTTCTTTCTCGGTGACTTGGCAAACGTTCACTATTCCTTTGAAATCTGTAAATCCCA